GAGCCCTAAGCTCCTGATTTTCCCCTCAAAGCATTTCCTACTGTCAAATGGCTTACAACAGACCCACCCACAACTACACCAAGTTGCTGACTTACTACCCTCACAAGTTGATACACTCAGAAATAAGCTTGAGAAACAGACCTGTGAAAACCCACTATTTCTTTGCAAGCAGGCATAATGTTTTCACTCTTAAACACCAGCAGAAAGGCATGCATTATACAAGAGAATAAAAAGAACTCTTTCCAATTTAACTTCACCTCTATTTTACATATCACAGAACTATGCTACAACTTTTCCTTTGGCTTACTATGCCTGGAAATACATATCCCAAACAGGACTCTCCTCTCCTGAGACTTTTAACACACTCTTCTCAAAACAATTCCATGACTAGATGACTATCCAACCATATTAGATCCCAGGTAGGGACAGAGTATACTTCTTTCCCAGAAAGGAGCCATCTATAGCCTCCTCTATTGACGGGCAAACGATGGGCTTCCAATCAGACTTTCTCCATTAACAACAAGACATCCATACTGTAATATCTCCCAGAGTCTGAGCTCTGGGATTTTTCCCTTTCCTTGAAAGATACAGGAAGAAAGCCTGTGAAAGTATCCCTTTCACTATCATCTGAGGAAATGAACAGTGCCTTTTATCAACCATAAAATTCTGAACTTTTTGAGTTCCAGCAACCGAGTGATAACTTGCAAAAAATCCACATGCCATGGACCTGCCAAGGCCTGATACTTTGGAAAGCTACTGTGTGTCAGGGAAATAGAATGTAAGCACCTTCAATTTAATTCATTTTAAAATGCGCTGTAATAGTGTCTCCCACAGATACCATAGAAACTGTCACTTTAAGAGACTGGAAACTTGAGTAGTTATAGTTTACCATCCTTCTATGAGTAGTTTGTGGGTGACTGAAAGTTTAAGTGTCATTCTAAAAAACCTATTACAGGTGATCACTGAAAAGAGACCACGTGAAGTAATGCAAAGAGTGGATGGAGAAAACTTCTTTGCAGATGGAAGTATTATAACTCTTACCTATCTTACCTAAGAAACACGATAAAGAAAATTCCTTAAGGAATCAGAAGTGAGGACACTGGAGAGTTTTAACTAGTCCTGGAGAGTTATCTGGAGAGGAACTAAAAGGGGACAGGGAGAAAGAACTAAATGCTTAAGATTAGGACTACTCTCCATAGAAGCTAGTGGGACTGTAATTCAGAAGTGAGAAGTCAAGAGCAGAGAAAAAAAGGTTAAATGTGACCATAACTGTAATCTTTCTTTAAACTAAAATACTGTAAATAATAATGTCTGTGCAGTGGCTATCCTGATAATAAAGTATATGGCTAATAACTTTTCTGTTTCTGTTTGTGTTTGTGTTTGTGTTTGTGTGTGTATGTGTACATATATACAAATCACTAGAGAAATGAGAGAGAAAGCAACTGCTTAGTGGAAAAGAGATTTTTTTTCAGTTCATTAAATAAATATAATTAAATGTTTTATTTATTAATATATGAAGTGACTATATCAAATATTAATTAATTAGTAGTGTTAAATATTTTATTACAAATATTATTTTACAAACTAGGGTGGGGGCTCAGAGCTAACTGACTGAAAAACAGTTTACAATTTTAGTTGCTAATAAATTCCTAAATATACCCCTTGGGCATCTATATGGTAAAGTGGATAGAAGGCCAGGCCTGAGTTTATCTTACTGAGTTCAAATATGAACTCGGATACTTATTAGCTGAGTTACACCCTGGACAAGTCACTTAACCCTCTTGCTTCAGTTTCCCTACCTGTAAAATAAGCTGGAGAAGGAAAAGGCAAAGCACTCCAGTATCTTTGCTAATAAAATCCCAAATGAGGTCACCAAGAGTCATGACTGAACAAAAACAAAATATATCCCTTAATTGCTTTAAAGCTGAGGATGATGAAAATGAATATGATAATGAATCAAGTAGCAGGCTAAGTGAGATGAAATCAATGAGACAGATGCTAAAATCCTGTTCCACATGTTATCCAGGAATTTTTTTCCTTTCTTTCTCAAGGGCATTTTTCTCATGGAATCATACATACAAAGTGTCTGACAGTGCTGCTGCTGCTGATGACTAATTACTTTAACTTGCCTCTTTTACTGTTTCATTTCATACATATTAATTTCATATAATTATTATGTTTTTGCTTATCATGATATAGACTTCAGGTTTGATGACTAATAATCAATACAATTATTGGCTTATTGAATATAAGTTTATGTTATCATTACCTAGAAAAGTGTTCATCAATATATTTGGGAAACATTGTATTTGGGAACTGGGAATTCATTGAGATCTCCTGACTTTAGAAGAGTATATAGGGAATCAAAATAATGGTATGGAAAAGAAAGGTCAAAGGACTGAGGGATTTCCAGATAACCCATAATAAGGTCAGGGCTGGAGAAACCATCTGGCATTCTGTAAATTACTAATATGTTTGGATCATGCCAAAATATTGGATATATTGATAACAGGAAATAGCACTTGGGAATTGATCTACACATTTCCTTTCGAGAAGGAAGAGCTGGTCAATAGAGTACAGGGCTTAATGAAAAAAAGAGAGGACCTGGCAGCAGAGAGACTGAAGGAAGTTCTAAGTCAGAAAAAGATAATTCACTTGTAAGTGGCGCAAAGGCCAGAACTCTGATTTGAACAAGGACACGTTGTCCTTGGGCAATGCCAAAATCAAATCTATCTTTGCCGAGGAACATTTGAAGTCAGAGTTGGGAAGCTTTTCTGGGAAAGCACCCTGTCCTTTTTAGGGAACAAACATGGGAAGTGTGATTCAATAAGGTGACAGAATCGCAACAGAATTGGCAGGCATCTGAGTCAGAAATGATGAGTAGTTTAATGGATGCCTCAGAGTCATCTTGTGGACGTGCTCAGGGTTTAAAGGCTACTCAAAGATACTAGACTCACATGGTAAACCTGTTTGCAAAAACTAAAGAGATGATTTGGTATCAATAGGGTGCCACGGCACATATTCCTTTGTTAAGGTGCAAAGGGGAAGAGCCTGCTGTCTCTGTAGTTGAATGCCAAACTAAAGAGATGACTGAAAAAAGGAACAGGAAAGTCTAAAAAAGAAGATGAGACTACACTCATATGGGTAGGCGATGGCTTGATACACAGCCTGGAGATAAAATGGCATCTCCTTGACACTGATACGCACCAGCCTCCACCAGATTCTGAGATGCTGGTGGGCAGAACATGAGGTATTGAGGGCAGAGGCACAACAGTACCTGGGAATGCTTGCCCTGGAAAAACTCAGCCTCATCTAGCTATAAAATATCCTATTGTGCATAAGCTAAAGAACAGGAAGCAAATCACATGGATAACAGATTGGAAGACACAAGCTGTTGCAAGATGGAGATGTAGACAAATTTGTCTTATTTGTGAAGAAGGAAAAAAAACAAACTAGGAGAAGAAAGGTCCCAACAGTATGACGCAAAATCACCATAATCACAAAAAAGGAAATTTTTCTCTATGGCCTGGATAGAATCACAAGTGGTGAATTCATTCAAAAGTGAAATGAGTTGGTGGGTGAGAAGCTAAAGTCCAAGAAATCAGTATCAGAAAATGAAGAGGAGGTCAGTGAGAGAGCTCAGCCGGGACCCCAAATAAAAGTTAGCATAGCCTCCTCATCAGTTCGATCTCAACAGTTTGGTACAAGACTATCACCATCAAGATATAATCAGAGAAGCAGGACCACTCTGTGGCAAAAGTGGACTTAAATATGTCAAGGGCACTCGAAAAGAGAATTATTCCTCAGTTCAGAGGAGACCTATGCCTGAGGAAACATTATCAAGAAAAAGAAGACAGTATGATGTTGAATTTTTTATCAAAAATTGAAGCAAGATAACAGTTTTGCTAAAACAAAAAAACAAACTTTGGTATTCAGAGAATATTGGAAAGATCTGGGCCAGGATTTAAACAGAGAGTTGATAATGAGATAGGAAAATGCACACATGAGCTTTCAGCTAAAGAAGACATTGGAAAGTGAGGAAGCATGAAAAATAAAGCTATTTCTTATATGTACATATATGTATACACATACATGCACATACAGAGGCTTCTAGGTGGAACAGTGACAAAGTGGAGAGAATGCTGAGCCTGGAGTCAGGAATATCTGAGTTCAAATCTGGCCTCAGACAAGTCACATGACTTCTGCCTCAGTTTCCTCAACTGTAAAATGGGGATAGCAATAACATCTAAAACCCAGAGCTGTTGTAATTGTGAAAAGGAAATAGTATTTGTAAATCACTTAGCCCATCTTACTTCCCAGTCCACACAGACAGTTCCTGAAAAGAGGTATTACTCTGAGTACAGCAGAGGCTACATACAGAGACTCTGGGACTTGGGAGGATGATTGAATAGATTGGTAGCACCAATCTTAGCCAGAGCCTAATTGGTAGGGTACTCTAAGGGTTTTCACTTTGCCTCATGTCCTGGGCCCCTTGGGCAGTCTGTTGGACCCCTTCTCAGAACCATAATCCTAATCGCATTAATATAAAATATATAGGATTACAAAAGAATACAATTATTGAAATACAGTTACAGACACTTAGAAAAAAAACAAATAAAAGATCCCTGTTTTAGGGAACACAGACAAGTCACAGAGTACAGAAACATTGTTAGCAAGTTTATACCATAAACCAATTAGGTATAGATCTCCTTTTTGTCCCCCTGTGCCTAGAACGCCCTCCCTCTTCACCTTTTTCTCCTGACTCCCTTGGTTTCCTTCAGAACCTAGTTTCAATCCTGTCTTCTACATGAGGTATTTCCTGGTCCCTCATCCCCACCACTGTTGTGCTCTCAGATTACCTCCTATTTATACTGGTCATGTCTTGCATGCACAGTTACGTGTATGTTGTCCCCACTATTAGAAGATGAGCTCCTTGAGGGCAGGGACTGCTTTTTGCCTTTTTTTATCCCTAGCACTTAGCACAGTGACTGGCACATAGTAAATGCTAAATAAATGCCTGTTGACTGACTGAGATGTAGAAAGGTCAACAACAACAACAACAACAAAAATATTAGGGCAATCCAGGTCATCCACAGGCTAAACTATGATGCTGCAGAAGTAGTTACTCACTGAGCCCGACGGAATTCATTGTTAAATTAAATGTACGGCTATTCTGGATTTCTTAGGTGTAAATGAAGTGTTTTACACGTATTATTATTATTATTATATCTAATTATTACTACTATATCTAGTGCTGTTACATTGTTGGATTCAGTATATCGACAAGCCTAGATTAAACACTTACTGTATGCTATGCTAGGGATAGAAAGACAAAAATGTGAGAAAGTCCCTGCCCTCAAGAAATGTCCATTCTATTGAAGGGAAGCAATATATGTACAGACGAGTAAACAAACAAAATCTTTAGATAGCAGGGAGTCTAGACAGCCCTTGTATATGGGATGACATCTGGGATGAGCCTTGAAGGAATTCAAAGAGGGAGAAGTGAAGACAGGGCTCATTCCAGCTATCCTAATAAGGGCACCAGTCTCCCTAATGTTACTTACAACTCCTCGGGGTCAGGGACTATTATTCACTTTGTCTCTTTTTTCCCAGTGCCTAGAAAGCTGCCTGGCACATTTAAGCGTTTAGCAGTTAGTTGCTTATTGGATTGAATTGACAGTTCAAGGAATGACTTCATGCCCAATGAGGCATAAGATGGAAGAATGGCATCCAGTTCCTCAAGCGGATCAGATTTCTTAGGGAAGATTCAGACAAATGTTGGTACATTGCCCTAGATCCCCAGTGGTTCTTCATCATTTGGAAGTGAGGGACATGGATACCTTTAGTAAATCTAGTGAAGTCTATGGACTCTTTTCCTGAATGTTTTTGAATGCATAAAAATGTTAGATTACAAAATACAATTACTTATACTGAAATAATGGTTAACAATAAAAAGAAAATAAGTTTATGGGCCTAGGGCTAATAATTCCTGCCTAGACTATGACGCTTTGCTTTGCCTACATAATCAGGCACAACAATGGTGCTATCTTGCATATGTTTATCATCTCATTTTGCCAACTACAATAATCCACGCAAAATAGCTCTCAGTATTCGGTTTACAAAACACAAAATTAATGCACAGAAGGAGTTAATGACCAACCCAGAGTCATACATCCTTTTTAGTAGACTTTCATATGCAACGCCAAAGGACTATTGATTTCCTGTGGCTCACATGGGTCAATTCATGGTTAACTACCACAACAGCAGAAGACAAAACAGAAGTGGACAAAGGAATATTGCAGATAATTCTTTAAGCTGGGTTGGGAAGGGTACTGGATTGAAAATTCTACTACCCAGTGCCATGATTTAACTAGTGGGCAGACAATGGGCATCTCATTTCATTTATGCAGTTTTTGGCTTCTTCGTCTTTAAAATGAGTGGGTTGGACTAAATGTTATCTACAGTTCCTTTCGGCTGTAATAATCTATGACTCAAGCTGATGGCACAATCCTTAATTGGACAACTGAGTGCCCCAGAGAATTTTCAGAAGAAGCAGCCAACATCCCCTAGCCATGCCCTTGGCAGGTCAGACACTGCTGAGCTCACCGGCAGCTACCCCACAAAGCAACTGAGGACACAGTTTGCAGGAAGGTGACAGAAATCTCATTGCCCAGGAAAACAAATGTGTTTTATTGTAAAACAGGCACATTTACATAATGCAAGTCAGCACAAGCACAATTTCCATAAATCCTATCACTCCTTATTCTTGACTTCTTCAGAAAGGACCCTTTTAAGTGAGCAGGATCTTGGCTAGGGACTGAGCAGCATTACTGCTTACAGATAGAGCCTTTCAGCCTTGTCTTAGGAATTGGCATTTCTAACATCACCATACTGACTCAGTACTTTACATTCTATAGACTGGAAGTCAATTTTTATATGTATAAATTACTCTGCCACCATCCTAACTTCATGACTGGACAGAAATCACATTTCACAAAGAGCAATTTATGCCGCATTCTAATACACCATGCAGAACATATCACATATTGTACAGAAACCTGAAATACCATGCATGTTTGAGTAGATTTAAAACTCCAGCTGATAACCACACTCAGTTTGAACACTCAGACCAAATATGACTCAGACATTTCCTGGAAGCAAAGCAGTCTAAAAATGTATGTGTTTTCAGCTAATCATCACTAGGCACAGCACTGCCCAAATCATTACCAGGGCTGGTCGTGATGGATTATATCAATGACTGAGTGTTGCCACACTTAGACAGGCAAAGTAATTGCTCTGTGGATCAAGAAGGCAAGAGCTGTTGCCAAGAATATGGACAAGGGCACCAGCCTCTCTTCCATGTGGAGATGGTGCAGAACTGCCTTCTAAAAGCAGAGCCAGACCATAGTCCTAAGCTGTCTCATAATGTGACTGCAGAACTGAAAATATTAATGGGAGGGAGATCAAGAGAGTCAGGAGAGATCTCTGTGTCAGACCAGTACAAGTCCAGGAAATTAAGTTACCAAGAGATATTTCCCCATGTGTCCGTTTTTGGTTTTGTCTGTATAGTCTGAGCCTCTGTAGCTATGCTGTAAGCTGCTAGTGGTGATAACGGCAGATTGTAGACTGGAAGCCAGGCAGGGATGACTTTATGCCATGAGGTCAGTGACACCTACAACCCTGAAAACACTTTCTGAGATCTTCTTTATTCATTCAAATGTCCCTATGCCAGGAGATAATAAGAATCTTGCAGTCAGATGTCTTGGGACCCTGACAAAAGACATTCAAGGACCATAACTTTGAAAATTTGGAGGGGGGATAAAACTGTTGCCTTTGTAAAGCTGTTTCCAGGACAAAATCACATTTTCACTCTAATTTCCTATTCAGGATTTCTTGGGTGAAGAAAGGGGGGGAAATAGACAAGGCAGAATAAACAAGTAAACAGTTCAGAACCGGAAGATGCTTCTTCCAAATTAACACAGATAATGCTCAGGCATGTTTTTTTTTAACTTGTACATTGTAATACAAGATTTTAAATGTCAAGAAGAGGGTTCGGTGAGGGCTCTCCAACTTGTCTGAGTCCAAAATAAAGTGGTATGGTCCTAGGCCTCACTATCCTCTTGACTGGGTCTCGGGGTCGTTGAAACTGAGATCTGCTGTTCCTTTTTCCGTGGTGACTCCATCCTCCAGGGCTCCTCTAAATCAAAGCCAGGGTGAAACACGCAAAAGCAGCTGGTCTTCATTAAAGTTCTTGGCCATTTGATGGTATCTGTGCAGGAGAGATAAAATGGAGAGCCAGTCAGGTACTAGTCTCAATATTCTAAGGAATAATGGATGAGGGGGGAAGGAAAGAAGAAAAGGTCATTTCTTACCTTCACTCAACTGGGCTCCATCTGCTTCTTTGGAAGATTTAGGGGACTGGCTTTCAGTGGGTGACTCTTATAATTTGCTCTGAGCCTGACGTCAGCTTCTGCGGATTGAGGATCCACTATTTCACTGTTGATGAAAACATAAAATAAATACTCCTCCCATCAATGACCTAAGGCAACTAGAGCCAAGGGTCATTCAACAGAACCACAGAGACATGCTGAGGAAGGGAGGACGGGAGAGAAAGAACTCAGAAACGATGCTGTAGCTGCTGCCTTTCCCTAGGATGCTCCTAAGAAGCAGCAGCCTGTGAGGGAAGCTGTAGGTGATTTCTAAGACCACATAAGGTTCTCAATTCCCAGTTCCTCCCGAGATCAGAAGAGGCCAGGGATCATCTTCCCATTGCTGTTCGGCCACCTTAACTTAATACTCAGCTCCTTCTTAACCTCCGCCAGCCTCGCCAAACACAAACGTGTTGGGTTCTGTCACTGAGATACTGTACAACAGAGAGCAAAATGCAGTTGGAATTAGCTGCCAAGGATGACTTGTCCATGGGTTCGGAGTTGACCATTTGGTATGGGGCAGAGTGAATGAGTTTAACAAACCACCTGGAACTATCAGAAGTCTTCTGTGCATTCCAATGTTCACAGCAAATCAACTCTATATCAGTTTCCCACTAGGTGACAAAAGATTGAGATAGATACATCTCTCTAGCTTCTTTGCCCTCTTCCTTCTGTCCAGTCCAGCATTTCCTCCTGGCTCTGAGATACCAGACCTATATGCTTTGCATGCCCTTGCCGCCATGGTGAAATAAAGAATTTTCCAAAGCTGGACAGAGAAAAGGGACAAAACCATGGTGGGAGGTACCACTCTCTTCCCTATATTCTAATCATGCAGTCTAAGAAACATCTATCCCTTATCATTCTCTCTCTCCTCTCTCTCTCTCTCTCTCTCTCTCTCTCTCTCTCTCTCTCTCTCTCTCTCTCTCTCTCTGGGTTCAAGTCTGGCCTCTGAAACATAAATACTGTGTGACTTGACTTGACTCTAGGCTTAACTTCCAGGGCTTGAGGCAGGCCTCTAAGACTATAAATGAATAACCACAGTGGCAGAGGAAATGATTCACCAAGAGCTCCTTTCCCCAGGAAACACAGACCCAGTCCCTGTCTCTGGCTTTTATAAAGAGAAAGGGCCCAGGCACCTATTATCCTATGGTAAGGGTAGTTCTGGTGATTCATGGAGGCTCTAAAGTAGGATCTATAGGAATCTAGAGAAGGATTACTCATGTCCAAAGTGAGTTAACAGTGAGGCTCCAATTTCCTAGGATGAAGGAAGGTCATGGATATGGGGTGAGGAGAGTCCAAATGGGACCACACCATTTCATGGAGAGGGGAACAGAACTGCAAGAAATATTGGATTTGCCCTATCAATAACATTCTATGATACATGGATGCCCTAGTTAGTAAGTACATTAAAAAAGAAAAGTCAGATTAATTTACACATGATCAATGTACAATGAATAACTAGCATGTTCTGTCACAGTCCTAATCATACTCCCTTCCAGCTAATTCATGAAGAGGAGTGCATGGCAGTAGCAATCAATTTAGACCGATCATAATAATTATGGTGACAGTAATAATAAAAAAATAATAATAATAATAATAGCATTTATATAGTGTTTTAAAGTTTGTAAAGCACTTAACAAATATTATCTCATTTTTCCTCATAAGAACCTGACAGGTAGGTACTATTGCTATCTCCATTTCATATATGAAGATGCTGAGGCAGTATGGAACACTAAGTATTAGAACACTAAGATACTAAGACAGATGGAAGTTAAGTGACTTGCCCAGGGTCACACAGCTAGTAAATATCGGAGGCTTAATTTGAACTCAGATCTTTCTGACTCCAGATCTGACACTCTACTGACTGTACCATCTGTGAATGGATAGGTGATATGGCAAGATGTGTGAATTCAGAGAAACAATGCTGAATTAGAGTCAAAAGACCTGAGTCTGAACCCCAGCCCTGCCACATGTGTTTTTGGGTAAATCATTTCATCTCTCTGGGCCTCAGTTTCCTCATAGGTAATAATATGGGTTTGGATCTTACATCATATACCAACACAAGGTCAAATTGGGTACATGATTTATGATTTAGACATGAAGGGTAACATGATTAACAAATTAGGAGAGCAAGAAATGGTTTACCTGTCAGATCTAGGAAGGAGGGAAAAATTTATAATAAAATAAGAGATAGAAAACATTATGAAATGCAAACTGGATAATTTTGATTTTATTAAATTAAAAACAGCTTGCACAAACAAAGCCAATACAACCAAGATTAGAAGGAAAGCAGAAATCTGGGAAACAATTTTCACTGCCAGTGTTTCTGATAAAGGCCTCATTTTTAAAATATACGAAGAACGGAGTCAAATTTATAAGACAACAAAGTATTCCTCAACTGATAAATGGTCAAAGGATATGAACAGGCAGTTTTCAGATGAAGAAATCAAAGTTATTTATGTGCCTATGAAGAAGTGCTCTCAATCACTTTTGATTAGAGAAATGAGAATTAAAACAACTCTGAGGTACCATCTCACACCTATCAGACTGGCTAATATGACAAAAAAGGAAAATGATAAATGTTGGAGAAGATGTGGAAAAATTGGAGCACTAATGCATTGTTGGTGGAGTTGTGAACTGACCCAACTTTTGTGGAGAACAATTTGAAACTATGCCCAAAGGGCTATAAAACTATGATAAGCTTTGATCCGGCCATGCCACTACTAGGTCTGCATCCCAAAGAGACCATAAAAAAGGGAAAAGGACCTGCATGTAGAAAAATATTTATAGCAGGTCTTTTTGTAGTAGCAAAGAATTGGAAAATAAAGGGATGCCCATCAATTGGGGAATGGCTGAACAAGTTGTGGTATATGAATGTAATGGAATACTATTGTGCCATAAGAAATGATGAACAGGCTAACTTTGGAAAAACCTGTAAAAACTTGTATGGACTGATGCTGAGTGAAGTGAGTAGAACCAAGAGAACATTGTACACCATAATGCAATATTGTACAATGATCAATTTTGATAGACTTAGCTCTCCTTAGCAATATAATGATCTAAGGCAATTCCAAAAGACTCATGATGGAAAGTGCTATCCACCTCCAGAGAAAGAACTATGGAGTCTGAATGCAGATCAAAGCAAACTATTATGTCTTTTTTTTTCTTTCTCATGATTTTTCTTTTTGCTCTTCTTTCACAACAAGACTAATGTGGAAATGTGTTTAATATGATTATACTATATCAGATTGCTTGCCATCTTTGGGAGGGGGAAGGGGTGGGAGAGAGGGAGAAAAAAATTTGGAACTCAAAATCTTATAAAAGTGAATGTTAGGGGCAGCTAGGTGGCACAGTGGATAGAGTACCAGCCCTAGAGTCAGGAGGACCTGAATTCAAATCTGGCCTCAGGTATTTGATACTAGCTGTGTGACCCTGGGCAAGTCACTTAACTCTGATTGCCCCACCAAAAAAAGAAATCAATGTGAAAACTATCTTTACACGTAATTGGAAAAAAATAAAATATTATTAAGCGAGGGGAAAAGAAACAAGAATGCCCACTATCATAAAAAAAAAAGAATATGGGATTTGGCTTATTGACTTCTAAGTCCTTTCAAGTTCTTAATCTGTGAACCTATAATATCCCCCTGCTATTAGAAGACCACACTGTCCCAGAAAAACTCACTGTCTCTTTAGACCAATAAATCAAATTTTGATGGATTCTTGTTATATCTCAGACACTGGCTTATTGGTTGCTAAGTAGTGGTTAGTTCCAGCCTTCCTTTCCAGAGTGATACAGACTTGCAAGAGGCAAGGAAGTCAGCAGGAGATGGGCAAAGTGACCAGGCACCAGAGGTGGTGATTTCTGGTGGTTCACTTTTCCTCCCAGACTTGAATTCCCCACATTTTAGGCTGACAGATCTGCTGGTTTTGGAAGACTGTCAGAAAACTCAAATCTCTTGCTTCTTAGCAGCTCCCATACTCAGGTGATTAAATCATACTTTTTTAAAAGTATCTTTTTTCAGTTTAATGGTTCAACTGTCCTTATTCTCATTTGGCTCTTTTAATATGGAATTCTTATCTGTGCTCAAAATGTCTCACATAGTTTCCTCTGGTTTGAACCTGATAAAACAGAGGGCAAAAATGGAACGTTTAGGACCAAAGAGATACCTATATTTAACAGAAATTTGAAGTCTCCTACTTCAGGGAAGTCCCCAGCTTGCCAATGGATTGTGTTCCAAACGTTTGTAAGTCAATGGTTGTGAACTCTAAATACATTCTCACTCCCAAATGAAAATTTGTTTCACATGTAACATTCCTTGAGTTTGACACTATTGTATAGTATTATAATACTCACTATAATGTATAAAATGTTTCTAGGAGAAAATTCATTAAGGTACCTGTTTCCCCCACTGTAATGGGATCAGAAACTACCTTTCTTTGGACCTCTACCCTACTGATGAGCCCAGGGACACCTCTAGTTCTAAGTCACTGTCTGGGCCACTCACTGGTAGAAATCCATGGCTCCATTTGAAATTGCTTTTTCCTCTTGTCAAGCTCCCCCATCACTCCTCTTTTTTTGTTTTGAGGGCCCCTGGGATTGGTCTATGTGCTTTGTTTTCAAATAATAATATATAAAGATTATATTATTAACAATATATAATATATTACAATATAATAATATGCACACATATAATACATGTGTATCTATAGATAATACATACATTTGTGTGTATGTATGTATATGTGGGTATACAAATATGTCTGTGTGTGTGTGTGTACACACATATGGCAATGGTGGTGGTTGTCCTTCACTCTCAAAAATTTTGCGTTTGGACCAAAATGACATCACTATGGTAGAGTCAAGTTACAGTGTGTCTGACTGTGGCTGGTCAGACCAATGTGAGCTCAGAATCTCTACCACAGGTCAGGCACAAATAGTCCATGTGAACATTTGAGGTGGATTCTCCAAATTTGCTCACCTCCCACTTCTTTTGAATAATGTACAAAGAGGACTTAACATTTTAAAGTCTCATGAGGGTGTGTATATAGATAAATGTGGCAGAAAAA